ATATATATATATATATATATATATATATTTAACCAAAAGATATAATGACAACAGGTGATGGCAATGGAATTGGGAACCGACAACATAAGAGTGAACTGCATAAACCCTGGAATTTTCAGAACTGAGATCACCGAAGGACTAGTAGATAAGACATGGTTCAACAATGTGGTTTTGAAGACAATTCCTTTGAAAACCCTTGGCACGATTAATCCAGCCTTGACATCTCTTGCACGATATTTGATCCATGATTCTTCGTTATATGTTACAGGAAGTTGTTTTATTGCGGATGCTGGTACCAGCTTGGCAACAATTCCTATTTTCTCATCACTTTAAATTAACATTTTTCCCAACTCTTGTAAAATGTATGTTCTAAGTTGGATTATGTCATAATTTTGCAACAAACTATTTTTAATGTTCTCATTATCACTTTTCATTTGTTTGAGACCGTAAAAACTACCATCTTTTTTTACAAAAAACCCTTAAGACATGATATAAATGGTTTTGTCGGCATTGAGTGTTTACTGCTTATAATTAGACATGTGGTGTTTATGGTAGTCCCATGTGAACACACCCGCGAGGATATTGAGCTTGAAAATAAGAAACATAAATATCTATGACATACTTCTTTGACATAAAACAACATATTTTATATATTTATATTTAAAGACAAAAGTTAAATATATATTAAAACATTACATTATTTAAAAAAAAAAGAAATAAACATATGCAAATGTTTATTTTTCTTCTTCAAAACATCCTAGAATGTCTTCAATAGGCTAATAAGAGCATAGTAGGTAGACTTTTATTCGGAATAGAATTCTATTGCAAATCTCATGACTTTCGAGGGTGTTTTATCATTCATTGCCTCAATTTGTTCCCATTTGCTATGTTGGTTGGATTGAAGTAATCTCTGTTATCTATCATCAACCTGGTGTAATTCATCAGTTTTTCATTACACGATTTCGAAAACAAAACCACATTGTGCTTATAATCTTTATTGGGAATTGTGTTAGTTGACATAATGAAAGAGGGATGAAACGACAGAGATAGAGCGAGAGGGATACAAAACAAAGATGAAGATGATATAGAAACGGGTAGAACGGATTAACTTAAAGGGGGTAAGGAAAATCAATTTAAACAGAAGATGGTCCTTAAAGCAACCCAACGGTCTCGTATTAAGTAAATGGCTTACACAAATAATAGTTAACTAGAAAAGTTTCCCCCCGCAACGCGGGGGTTAGAAGGTATTCCATTGTAAAAAATGTTATTGATTAAGTATTTAAAACAGATTGTTAAGTTGGTCATGCTTGCAACATAGGTTCCGCATGTAACTGCCATGCATTCAGGTCTTTCTCCTCTCCATACCTTCTCAAATTGTTGCTATGGTCAACCTGATACTTTGTAGTAGTAGTTTTGTCACATGACACCATCAAATGCAACAAATGAGATGATTTTATTTTTTATAATACAATACAATACAATACAAGACATACGATATACATGAAAAATGTTTCAGCTAAGAAACAAATCATTCAATCAAGTCAAACTTCATCCATATCAAAGTAACACATAAACCAAAGAAGGCTTTCAGCCACCCTCTTCAGTTGCTTTTGTAACACCAATGGTAAAATTTAGACAACCCTGCCTTCACATATCAGAGTCTGATATTTTGTCACAGATCCAAGTTGTAGTCATTGCACCAGAGACCAACAAATTGTTGTCAACATGATGTGCTTCAATATGAAAGTAAAATATCAGACCTGTTTATTTAATAAATATCAAATTCCAAGGTGTGTAAATCAATATTAGAAATTACCTTTGACTCGCATTTGCTGCATAAATCAAATATGAAAGTGAAAAATAAGAAATTATCAATGCCTCTACAATTGCAAACCCAAACGACATCCACCATCTAGAATAAAGTAAGAAAAACATGGGATTATCAACCTTCTATAATAGTATAAAAGTATAGAACTATTTTTAAGAGAATGTGAGTAAACATACATATAACCCTTTATTTTCTTGTTAGCATCCAACCCTTCTTTCCGTAGCTTGACCAATGAAGGAAGAACATATCAAAGTACCTGATCCCATAATCACTCTATAATTAGCTTAAATATATGAAATCAAATTCAATTTCTATAAAATCAAGAATCACAATCAACCTGCATAACAATAGATGCTGCAATTTGGGGATTGATTCCAAGTTGGAATAGGGAAAGCTTAAGTTCTGGTGCCAGCTCACCAAGCTCCTCTGTCATTTAAGACAATGAAATTATAAGTACAATAAGAAATGAAAAGAAAAGATAATGATGATTGAAATTAAAATATCATTAACATACCAACTGAACCGAGACAAAACTAAGGTAATTCTCTGGTACCAATCTTCTATCAAAACCAGGAAGAGGAATAAAATATCCTACACGACTAATTACAAGTAATGCAGCAGTAACAAATAATCTCCTTATCTCACTCTTGAAAAATGATTCAGCAGCATTATTGATGACCGAACCTACGCGTGCAAAAATAAGGAATCTGTTTTCATATTTTGGTTTTTGTTGTGATTTCTCAGGATTATATGAACTAACTTCAAACTCGTGTTCAGAATTTTGCTCGATTTGTTCATGACTTAGAGACTCTGCAGATGCTGAATGGATTCTCATATGGCTTATTTTGGGCTGATTGTATGTGAACATTGGTGAATTGTGGCATGCACTTGAATGAAAATGTTTTGTCGAAATTACAAAATGTCTTTTGTAAAGTTCCGAATTCATGGTCTTAAGGGAAAATCTTTTTCTATCATATGGTACATGCCATAACTGGAGGCTACGTGCATGTCTGCCTGTTCATCAGAAGAAAAAAAAAGCATATTACACCCATAAGAATAAGATAAAATTTTGATTTAAACTCAATAGTTGGATAAGTGTAGAATTATGTTTAATAAGTAGTTTATTTTGATTGCAAAAGTCAGCAAATCCTAATCATATTCAATTTTCCCACTCACTAGAAAGCTGAGAACTTATGCAGCACTTTATAAACCCCATGAGTAATCTTCAACATTTGTTGATGATGAAAATGCTCAGACAATTATCCTAAGTTCTTACGATCCTAAAAATTTGATCGTCGTCATATAAATTTGAAGTTAAATAGAGTCTCTACTCGGGATAAGTCTTCTATTCATACCACTTACCCAAGACAATTCACATAAATTCAAGAACACAATGATAAAACAAAATTCGATTAAGAAATAGGAATTATCATAATTACCTGATACGCGTAATCCAAGTTGTGGAGAAAAGTAATTGGCAGATAGCTAATTAACGTCGCTAAAACATGGGTTGATACTCTGCATTTGCAAATTCTTTGAAATGTAAACCCTAGTCCTTATAAACAGTCTAGTAATAGCTATACGGGAATAGATGGAAATTTTCATTCATCATAAAAAAACCCCTTTACTCTCATCATAACAAAAATAAAAAATTCCATGTACCCAGAAGAATACCTTGGGGAAAACGATAAAAAAGGCAGAATCAAATAGACAAACCACCTAAAATCGGTGTATACAAAAATATTTGGGGAAATGGAAATCTTATCTTGAATAAGAAGTCAAATGGATCATAAAAAATTAAATCAAAATCATACTTTGAAAACGATTAATAGAGACAATTGAAAGTATCATCAAGAAAAGAAATTTTTTCTTATGTTACCTGACACACAAGATCTCCAAGTCCCAAGATACGTTCACCATCTGTCACCACAATAAGTTTGAGTACTCCTCTTAGGCCAGTTCTTGAGTACGTCAATAAACAGAAGAACCTGAAGCTCCTGTGGTGAAATAAGTTCTGTAATCTTAATCTATAACCAACCCAAATAGACTTTAACACACAGATGACCAAATCAAGGAAAAAAATGTCGTAAATAAAGAGACAGAAGAACCTGAAGCCTTTTGGTTATGATTTCAAGCATAAGCAAGCAAAAGAAGATGTGGATGACTTGTAATCGAGGAGAGATGGAACCTGAGTCGGTGGAAGAAAATAAGAACAAAGCGGTGAGAAGAAGAGTAGGCAGAGTGAGGCAGTGGAGGAGACATCAACATAGGTAGTGGCGGTCGGTGGAAAATACCCAGCATACCCACCGGTCAACCTATTGGCGTCGTAGCATCTTAGGAGGGTGCGCAACCATAATCTGTCGCGAGGAGGTGGAAAGAAGATGGAGGTTGAAGAACCCGAACACAACAGGAAGAAAACATGTGCGCAACATGGTCATGATTCCACCAAAGATTCCCAATTTTCCAGGCGGTTCCACCCAACAATTCCAATAACCTCAAAAATTGCAGCACCCCATAAAAGATTAGCCGGTAAAAGGATTGAAAGCCGATCAACAGCAACACTCCAGCCATATGCACAAAAGAAGATGAGACGGAGGGGCGATGTTCTTGACGATACGTTTTACAAAACCGCTTGATTTCATTGGACGATAAAGACGGTGGTCAGCAAGGCGGTGGAACCGCTAAAATCAAAAGGGGAAGTCGGTTCGAGGGAGCCAGGAAGAAACTAAGGTCACAGACGAAAAAAAAAAGCAAAGTGTCAAAAGTCCAAAAATAGAAAAGTTTGGTGGCCAAAGTATGAAAAGGCAAAAAGGTACTGTAGGTAAGGCTCCCCACAATTAAGTGTATATATAATGATTCTAATGTTTTCATTCAATCAATGTGTTTACACTCTTTGAATGATGTAGTCATCAAAACGCCTCATCCAAACTGAAAATTGTAGACGCAGATGTAACATTCTGTTTAAAATAAAACAAGTAAAAAAATAAATAATAAAATAAATAAATAATAAGCTCTAAGACCGTGAGATGTATTTTATATTTTATTTTGTTTTAGCCCTAAACCCGTAATAATTTATCAGTGTTATCCATAAGGAGTTAAATTATATAATTTCCAGTTTTGAGATCTATGTTGTAACATTAGGACTTCAAATGTAAAGAAATTCATGAATCCAGGTCTGTTTGGTAAATTGTGGATCTGATTTGAAAAGGATTAGAAGGGGAAGGTTCGAAAGTGAAAAATCGTCATAAGTTAAAGTTGGAGACGGGTTAAGACCCGTCACCCCTCCCTTTCCTCTCGTTGCATACTTACCCGGAAAACCCTAACCCTAAAGATTATTTCCAGCCGCCGCCCTTGTTCCTCCTCATCTGTCAGTTGTGTAGCCGTCGTACCTCTTTGTTGTTGCACCTAACCGTCAAGCAGCCATCGCTTAACTGCTTTTGCTGCTGTCCCTTCCGGCAAGATCGTGGGTGACTTGAGGCTTAGCATCGAGATCAGAGGTCGTGGCTGCTTAGAACCGCTTCTCCTTCCTGTTTTCTTTTCTATTCCGTTTCAGCTCCAGCCGACGTCCGTCGCCGCCCATGCGGCCGTGGGTCGAAGGCACCAATGTCGGCCCATTAGTTTTGGTTATCTGCTAGTAGAGGGATGCCATAGGAACTGTATATATAGCCATGTAGGATAGACCGAGGACTCTTGATATAAGACCTCTTACATGTTCCTTGTTTGGTTGTGGTTCTAGAGTAGGATCACCTGTCCGAGTGACTATCTCACCTCTGAGTATATACGGCCATGCATTCATTGGATTGTTGATATTTAGTATGCTGCTATGCTATAGTGATATGTTAGATCTGTTTCCTGGTATTGAGTATGTTGCTTTGTGGTAATAACCCGTAGAAATGTATGTTATATGTGCTTGCTGGTTATCATCTATGGAGTGCCCTTAGGGACTGTCGGTGGTCATATAGGATAGCCAGAGAACTCTTGGTCTAGGCTCTCTTCCCCGTTCATTGTTTGGTTGTGGCTCTAGAGTAGGACCATCTATTCGGGTGGCTCTAGAGTAGGACCGTATTTTGGTAAAATGTGACTGTATGTCACAAAATATTTTAAAGATCACAATATAGAAAAATATGATATCTCTAAATATTATTAAAAGAGAAACCTTATGACATCATCTTAAATAATTTGGACCATTAATTGTATTTCAATCTTATTTTTTCCACCCTTAGATCAAATTGTTGACATCATCTTCCCCATATGGAATGTATTTAATTCCAATAAATATTTTCCAATCGTCAAACAATAACTTACATTCGTTGAAATTGGATGTATTTAATTCCAACTAGATGAGGAGCCCCGCGTTGCGGGGATGGATCTAAACGGATATGATCATTTTTGGCATCTGGTGCTTCTTATGGATGGTTTCGAAGGATATTAAGATAGGCTTATGATTTTCGACCTTAGCTATCACATTCTCTTCAAACAACAATCCCCAGAATCTATCTCTAAGAAGTATAAATTCAGAATTTAATCCAACAACTATCTCTTGTGTTGTGTATTGATGTCTTCAACAGGTAAAATGGGACTGAAGTTGCAATGCCTGCAGAATTTATGTAAATATCGAAATTCTCATACACTTCAAAGTGTTTTTCAAATGCAGCAACTACTTCTCCTGTGAATTGAATGTAGTAATGATTAATGGAATTTATAAATTATTTGAGTAAGAAAAATGAAGAGTTTTTACTTTTTGGACCAAAAATGTTGCAAGGATCTCAATTGAGGACTAAAAATGAAAACAAACACAACATATACTCCCATCTCCATCTTAAACAACCTTTTTGGACAAAAAATGTTGCAAGGATCTCAATGAAGAGTTTTTACTTTTTACCTTTGTTACTGAAGAAAGGTTATTGAGATCCTTTGAGTAAGAAAAATGAAGAGTTTTTACCTTTCTTGAAAAGTATAAGTTTTTAAGCTATTTCACATGCAAAATGATCATTTTGTCGTTGGCCACGACACTTTTAGTTCCTTGAAGTACTGAACATAAAATACCTACATCGTGAACAGGGGATTTGAAAACCGAAAACAATATAAACCAAAATTGGTAACCGTAAATCTATAAAACAAAATAGACGTGAAGTGCAGTTACTAATTACTTACCCGGCTGCAGAGAGGGTCGATGTGGTCAATTGTAATTTGAATTAGATCCCCAGTTCAATTAAAACATAAATCCAAAATTAAAACTGCAAACATAATGAATGTTAGTTTCAACTCTGCACAGGTGTATTACTACGGATTTAGTAACCAAAAAAGACGATGAAAATAAATTAAAATTTAATAATGTGCTCACATGTGACAATTATTTCAAATTTTTCAATAGAGATATTATACACATAATGGGTGTTTCCATTGGCTTTCCTTGCAAATTACTACGAAATAAATTATATATGATAAAAGCTTATCTCCCAACAAAAAAAAAGTAAAAAAATGCTTGGTCTGAACAAAATAACACATTTACCATATTATTCCACTAAAGAAGAATCAAAATGAGTGACTTGATAATATCAGTAGTTCGGTGATGTCATTGCTTATTAAGTGTTTACCTGAGCTTTTTGTTTTGCTGACCGCTGCTAGAGACAGCCGGTTATACTCGGCAAGTGTAACTTTTTGAACATTTGTGACATCAGCTCCAAGTACTTTATTTACCACCAGTGATTTTTTTTGTTCCTATAAAATCTATTTTCATTATCATTTGAGTAACTGCATTTCATCATTGCTGATATGAAAATCCAAATAGACATACATTCCCTGTTTGCAATCATCGGTTGTAAGTCTTGGTTCCTCATGTCTTTAAGACCATGTATTGTACTCTTGTTATGGTACCTCATCTCCATGATTGTGTCATTAATTCTTTGCAGCCAACAACTGTTGATAAGCATTTTGTATTAAATCACAGATTTAGAATAGACAACAAAAACAAATTGCAGACGTGTGAAAAGGAACATAAAAAATAAAATACATGTTGATAAGAAAACGTGAAAAATAAAATATTGGTCCTGATGTTATTGAATCCAAGACGATATAATTTTTAAAATATTTAGTTTTTAATGTCTACCAGTTCAAATGTGTAAGTGCAACAACAAAGTCCACACCTTTAACAATAATTGACCTTTTCAATCGAATTGTTTTAAATGGCCTATTTTAATGTCAGAATCATTTTCACATCTGCTGAAATACAAAAAACAAAAAAGAAAGGTTAGTTTTCACATATTTACGATTTTAGGTCAGTTAAAATTAAAAAAACATAAGGCTTGTGAAAACTAATCATTAGAAACTTGTAAACTATATACTTACTTCTTCTCCATCTAAGAAAGTTCGGTCTTTGTCTATCTTTAAGGTATGTCAGCTTCAGCATATACTCCCAAATCATGTGTCGCTCCTCGATCGCTTCACATGTTTAACAGCCCCAGAAGCTAAAATTACCTGTGTGACAGATAAAAAGAGTAGAAACTTATATTTTTACATCATACTATATTAATAACTTGACAGCCCAACTATACTAAAATGGTTTGTAGAAAGATTAATGTTTGAGTTGGATACCATTCTGTGAGCTTCATAGTGGGTTGAAATGCAATCTTAAATATCTTTCTTTGTTATCTTCCGGATGTTTTCAGCAGGTCCAAGAATGGTCTTTCCAAGGGGGGTGTATTGGAAAGCAGTAGAATGCAAATGATCAAAGATTACTTCTTCGGTTTGTGCTCTAACCTGAAATAACATATACATTCAGTAAAACAGCTGATACATGATTATCCTATAGCTGTAGTTGGAACTGAGTGCTGATTCTAATCTTAGCCTACAAACCAAAATGAATCAAGGCAAATAAGAATGCAAACACACAAACCTCTTCCATCTTTCGTAGAATAACACCACGCTGACGATTGATCAATGTTTCATCAAAAGTCGAGTTCTGCAATATATCTGAGCAACACCATTGTTCTCTTCCGTCTCAAATTACGACCCTGCATCAATCCATACCCCAACGATAGCCTTCTGGGAGGCTAGATTAGAGTCGGTGGCAACACGGAGACAGTTAGGAAGAGTGAGTTTGTGCAATTTCTACAATGTAGTAACATGTGAAATCTATTTGGGAGTTTCTTTCATGGCGTTCATATGACAGTTGCATTAGAATACACATACAGACAATACATCAAACAGCTTGTGCGCAAGAAACCAAAGAAATTCAAGAAAAATGTGATATTACCTTGGGCAAAAAAATTGATTCTCAGACAGTTTGTCGTTCATCTACTTCAACATCATAAAGCATCATATGTGGAGATATAATGAAAATACTAAAAAAAAAAAAAAACAGTCGGCCAAATCTGTGGTGTACAGAACTCAACTAAGCTGCCATAGAGAAGATTCACCTGATTGAAGGAATCAACAACTGAAAATCAAGGATCATAGATGAAAACTCAAGAAAAATAGGGAAGAAGCGACAACCTTCTATGAATCGACCCTTCAGGTGGAAAATCTTACCGGCGATGGCTTCATACAGAAAGTTAATTGACGAATGGAAGCTTAATGAGATGGATCCAACAATGGAGTGTTGAGATTTTGGAAATTGGTTAACATCCTTTCAATTCCACCAACGTAGTTGCTAGTGCCTTCGATACCCTCGGTGAACTGGTTGAAGGTCGGAGAATGGAATGGTGGCGGAGGTGCATAGCTAACAAATAGAAACACAGATGCAAGGAAAGGCGATAGAGATGACCGAAGAAGATATCGCTGGCATCTATAGGTCGAGTGAAGAAACTGGAAAAATCAGTGGAAAGCATCGACAACAAAAAAGAGACACCACCGCCACTGTAGCTTGCTGATTGCTTAAGGAAGCGGTAGGTTATAGTGTGGTGAATGGTAAAGGAAGTCGCAAGGAGTCGGAATCGAGTCGGTAACTCTAAAACTTCTGGCGGTGGAAGAAAGAAGCTTCTCTAAGGTGATGGAAGCGGTGACTTGCAACAGAGAAGAGGAAATTATCAGAACAAAAATGGCGGTGGGGGATTTAGATCCTGAAGTGCTATACATGGTGGCAACATCTGAGGAGAACATGTGGCTTCTCTTAGCAGGTGATTGGAAGAGAAGGGCGGTGATAATCGGTCCTGCTTTAATTTCAAGCCACGTAAAAAGCTATTTATAAAACAATTAATTAATAAATAAATACAGTAAATTCCCCTTGACCAGGATGTATTATGAAAAGCCAATAAAAGAAAGGTGAACATATACAAACAGGTAAAGACGTGGACCATAATTGTCAAAAAAACCAACAGCTTACAGAATTGAATATACACAAATAAACAGATGACCAATTTTGTCAAACTCCTTAGTAACTTTACTGTCCATCTTTAATATCTATATATAATAAAAGCTTTTCATATTTTCAATCTTGAATTTTCGGTTATTTTAATATGATCAATTTTAAAAGCATATTACTAACAAATCATTTCAATCAAGGCATTAATATCAACCATTAATATAAATCCGTTTATATTAGTAAACCATTAATATAAAATCTATTTTTATTAGGAAATCATTAATACCAAAAAATCATATTCAAATTATCACATACATATACGATTCATCCTTGAATCCGCGACTCACACTTATTTTCGATCATTTCTTTTCTTCAAACCTTCTCCTACAACATCATTCTTATCGCTTATAACTTACATCATCATTCTCTGCTTCAAACATTCGCTCTTGTGTACTAGAAGGTCAGTACCTTCTTTCGTTTTTTATATTTTTTTCGATTATTTTTTTGTTCCTATATCAAATATATGTATTCATATATTTCGATTTTCTTTGTCACAAATTACATGAAATCAGTTAACTACTTTTCTGAAACTTTTCAAATAAACAGAAAAAGATATTATGTACCTTTAACAAAACAGAAATAAACTATCTTAGGAACTGACATTAATTACGAAAATGTTACTTTTATATATTAGAGATGATTATAATTTTTTTTTATTTTTATGTTATAAGAATCCGGTTAATTTTGGCATGATTTTAAAATATCATTGAAATTATTATGTTTTTGTATATCATACCAACCTACTTTTTTATCTTTATATAGTAACAATAAAATTTATAAATTTACACAACAAATATACATATTTCGAATTTTGTAATATTATTATACCTTACAAAATACAACTTCCTCCAAAATAAATTTCGCCAGTAATTTCATCCATCATTTCACCAAATTTAAATTTGTATTTTCTTTATATAATTTTTTTTAATTATCCTGATTTTTTTCCTCCAAAAGTATATCAAGCATTTACGTATTAGATAATGCTGCCCCATTATGATTATTACTTTCCAAAAATATATCCGTTTAATGAGGAATTTGATTTAATGAAGGAAGTAAATGTTAATTAAAATGAGATATATATTCCATAATTATTACACGAGTTTATTAAAAAAATTTAATATCAAGGTGTAAACATTAAGCATTTTTAAAGTGAAATTTCAGAATACATACAAACGATGATGTTGTACCATGAAATATAAAATTGAATAGACTGAAAAAAAAACTATTAAGACAGTCAATCTTGAAAATAACATAGTTATGAAAAATTATAAAGTAAGATAAAAATTATAAGATATTAGGATATTTGTAAAAGGTACAATTAGTAAATGTCACACCCCCGAACCAGACGGCGGAAACGTCCAAGGGCTTGCGCGTGACTTCATTATTGTAGTATCATCACAAAGTATATAATTGAAACATAACATCATCATCAACACACATGTAATATAACAACAATCATTGTTTACATCGAGTATCGTGTTTGAATATTACATGCCAAAATAT